AAGCTCGGATCCAAATACCTGACAGTCCAGCACCTTTGGACGTCCTCCTGACGAGAAAGGCGCTGTATAAATGTCATGTGTTTCTGTTGCTGTTATTTAATACTGTGCAGAAATACCACAAATTCACTTTGGATAGTAAATCACAATAAGTCACTGTTGAAGGTCAGAGTGTTTTGTGAATGGCAATGCAGGTTGTATCTCCGGTCTGATCTGAGGTAAGTAATCTCAACCAGGTTAACAGTACTGGTGGGGCAATTAGGCTCAGGACTAATGAGGTTAACGTTATTTGCAAAATACAGCCCCCGATAGTTCACAAGCAAATAGACAAAATCTCTTCTCCCCGCTCTGACCTATAATCTTCCTGATAAATAATTAATTATGCCATTATCTGGTGCACAATCTAATTAACAAAACACATGAAAAATTCATTTGTACCAGCGCATGGCAAGAGAGAAAAGACGAGATTGAATAGAGATTTGTTTTAGCCATCCTGTATTTTGCTCTAAAAAAAAGTATTCAGTGGAACATTTCTTAGTGTTAAGTCAAGATTCCCAGCACCTGTCAATCCACAAATACAGAAACGGGCCACAATATTGCTCACAAAATCAACATTATATATATATACACACACACATTCACAATGTACATATCATTCTCCAAACATCACAGCCTTTATGAAACACTCTTGCCACATTTCTATTTGTTATCTGGTCGACATTTAAAAAAACATTCCAGAGAGTTGTTACGGTCTGGAACGCACTGCCTGGAAACAGATTCAATAACGACTTTCAAAGGGAATTAGATAAGTACTTGAAAAGGAAAAACTTACGGGGATAGGTGGAAAGAAAGAGCGGGGGAGTGGGACTGATTGGGTAGCTCTTCCAAAGAGCCGCGTACAGGCACGATGGCTTGAATGGCCTCCTTCGGTGCTGTAAGATTCTATGGATTCTATGAGGGTAATGTGAAGGACTGTGTATCTCAGTGGTACATAGAGTGGTTTGTTGAATGAGGGAAAGTTACTACAGATGTAGTTTTGCCACCGTACTGACCTGCGTTGACAATGGCATCAATTTCCAGTTTGGTGATGTCCCCCTGAAAGAGCGAGACCTTCCCATTCAGAATATCGTCCTTCTTGTACTTGGACTCTGGGTTTTTAAGCTTTTCCACTGGGAAACAAAATGGGAGCAAGTTAAAGAGAGGGGGAGACAACCACATAAATTGTGACTGGGCTTTCAACCACTTTTTCAGCAATGATTATGGCTATAAATGTCATGTTCACAGATTACCAACCTCCTATATCTGGCACTGAAGCTTGGCAGTGTGTCCTGGCAGACCATCTAATTATTGGATTGGGATATCATATTTTCAAGGATCGTCAACAATCAAAATCCCAACCGTCTTAATTAGAAATTTGGACTCAAAATCGTTGTGCCTGTTAATTGAGACAGATTTCACCAATTATAATAATAATAATCCTTGTATTTGATATAGGGCCTTATTGCGACGTCTAAAAGCGCTTCACGGAATCTCCCACAGAGATTAATTTGGATAGCTCTTTTAAAGAGCCGGCATGGACACAATGGGCTGAAGTGTCCTCCTCCTGTGCTGTCTAATTCTATGATTCTAATATGCTGTAAAGTGTAGTGACTGTATATTTTGCGTAGAAAAGCAGCAGTCAATTATTGTTATCAATTATTATCACCTCGTAAAATAGCAAATCAGATTTGAAAGATGCAGCAAATGGAATATGAAATGCCCTAAGCAATTTTGTCGATGGTATATTAATTTATAAGTGAAATGCTTCCTGCTGTGCAAACATTGATTATTAGAAAGCGATACAAATAATTCTACAAGTTTAAGAGGAAACTGCTCTTCTTCTCTGTTTCGTTAAGTGCAGTTTAATACAATTACAAATCACTTTGCAGGCATTTATGTGAAACCCTCTCTGCCAAGAACAAAAATCCACATCATAATGAATTTGTAAGTTTTAAAAGGCGGTTGTCCAATCTGAATTTAATCATTGGTAATTTAACAAAATTACTAATTGCTTCCCTAATAGTTAAACGAACCATGTTACTTTCTAGTATTGTTTATCCTACATGTTGAATGCTCTTTCTCTCCGCTTTCCTCCCACGCTTGTGAACTGAGGTGTCAAAAGGAGAGCGAAGTAGAGGCACTCTCAACACAGAAGCGAATCTTGCAGAATGCAGATTTGATAGTAACAATAGTCCTTGTGTTTGACATAGCGCCTTATCACGTCTCCGAGACCTCTCAAAGCGCATCACAGAATACACTGTAAAGTGGAGTGACTGTATCTTTTGTGGACAAAACGCAGCAGCTAATTGCACACAGTAGTGTACCACAAAATGTCGTGGATTGAGTGACCAAACTATTGTTATTATTATTTTTTTGAAGGCATTATTACCCCCGGAAAAGTGATCCGCTAATCGACTAGCAAGCGGGTCCCTACTTACTGTTAGGTAAAAGACGCATGTATGTGGAGTAAGAAAACTTGCCTAAACTTTAAATCTGCCTAAGGTTCCAGCAGAGGGCTTGAACCCAGAGCCTTCCAGAAACGAGAGTGAGCCAAGCTGTCACAAAACTGTAATGATTAGATGCCATTAGACCCGGGCTATAAAATTAACACGTGTAAATCTATTTTCAATATAAATGGAAATGTACTCTTCCAGGCACAAGGCAATGCACATTAAAACCAGAGCAATATAAACGCTCAGTACATATTCATTACCTCGTTATTACACACAGCGTCCTCTTCTCACTAACTCATTTTTGAAATATTGCACCGCAAATGTCAGAACCACGAAGGAGGCGAAATAAAATCACTGAAAATATTATCAGGAAGCAGCATCTCATAGCTGGTTTTGGATTGACATTGATTTATAATAAATAATTGTAATCCTTGCGTTTGATACAGCTCCTTATTACGTCGTAGAGACATCTCAAAGCACCTCACAGAATATACTGTATCGTGCAGTGTGTAATTTGTGGGCGAAACACGCCAGCCAATTGCACACAGCAGTGTCCCACAAACAGTCGTGGATTGAGTGACCAAATCATTATTAATTTGTATTTTATTTATTTTTTGGAGGGATCATTACTTTATATGATTTTTTATATTAATTAGTACTTAATATTATTTTTTTGTGGGCGAAATACAGCAGTCAATTGTGCATAGCAGTATACCACAAACAGTTATGGATCGAGTGATCAAACTTTATCCCTCTTGGAGGGATTCTTACTTGATTTTTTAAAATATTATTAACAATAGTTATACTTTACACTATTTTAAAATAATTAATGATTCCTTTGTACTACATTTTATATCATTAATTATTTCTCTATATATTATGTTATATTATTAATTATTACTTGATATTGTTTTGCTATATTAATACAAAAAAGAGAAAAGCCAACATAGCAACGATCATTGTGGTCGCGTTGCTAAGGAAGCAGCAACCAAAAAGGGATTGGTGAAACCAAATGCTAATCAAACAAAACACAGAGCCTTTTCCTGTCATGTGAAAAGCACTTACAGAAAAAGGAAGCGACTGCTGGGGAGTCTGTGTGTGCAACATCAGGTAATTAAACACAAGCTGTGTATACTTATGGGATTTGTTTTTTGGTTTAAAGGCGTATAAGAACTTGTAAGTTTGGGACCCGTTTTTATCGGATGGTTTTATTTTCAGGCTAGGAAAATAGTCTGGCAGCAAGATAAACATTGATGGAAGACTTGGAGCCTGCCTCTGCCTTTGACAAGGATCCATTCGAGCTAACGGCAGAAGATGTCTACGATATATCTTATGTCATTGGCCGCGAGTTAATGAAAGTCAGCAGCCCCGTGGGCTGCCCTGGAGTCTCCGAGCTGCAGTATAAGATCATCCGCGTTTTGGAAATGTTCGAGTCCCTGGTGAACAAGCACAATTTGACGGTGGAGGAGTTGAAAATGGAGCAAGCAAACCTGAAGGCTGAGACGGAGAGGCTTCACAGAGAACTGCAGAAGGCAAGCAGCGAGACACGGCAACCAGAGGATAAAGCTTCGGTGGATCTCGCAGACCCAAATCGCCCACGGTTCACGTTAGGGGAGCTCAGGGAGGTGTTGCAAGAACGCAATGAGCTGAAGGCCAAATTACTTGTTGTTCAAGAAGAGCTGCAGTATTACAAGAATAGCTTAGTCTCTTCCAAGGAAGCCAGTGTCATCGAGAGGGAAAATGCATCGACTGCAAGTCGGGGCAGTGAGCAAACTATGATTAAGAAACTCTTTAATTTCAAACGGCGAAACAATCCATAAAACGCGCAGATAAGACTCTTACAAAGCTGCAAAACCTTTCCCGGGACATTAATTAATATGCTCGACGGACCTTAACAAGGCTTTTACTCCTTCTTACTTTTATACAAGAAATGATTTCTGACCAAAAATAACTTTTTTTTTGAAAATTCTACTTCTCAGAAACAGAAATAAAAGAACTAATCCAAACTTCTTCGCACTTTTCATTAACCGGAAGGTTTCCTCGTGACAATACCAGAAGAGCGAGTGTGTTGACTGATAATTCAGCCTCTCTGCCCCCATCCCCCCCCCACTTTTGGAACTCCCTCCCTCGAGTCTCGTCTCGAGACCCTCCTCTTTGACCGACCCCGCCTTCGGTCGCCCTCCCACACCACCCCCCCCACCCGGCTCAATCCGCGGCTGTTTGCGGGGAACGCCGCTGCGCGCAATCGGCTCGCGGGCGAAACACGGTCACTCCACCACACGAAGCGGTGTTCACGAGGCGCCTTTCACGTCGCTTCGAGTCGCGGCACGGCGCCGGGTTTCAAAGGCAAGGATTATTATTTATCATTATCATCATCATTAACCTTCTGTTGCAGAGCTGCGGGGCAGCCCCCCCGCCCTACCACTGTGCCAGCGTGTACCCCAGCCGGCTCCACGCGGAGGGGAAGCGGGCGCCCGCCAGCCCCTCGGCGGGCGCCCCCCACTACACCCCGCTGCCGATGCTGAACCCGGCCCGCAAGGGCTCCGGCCTCTTCACCAACCTCGCTGAGCACAGCTCCGAGTCGGTGGGCTCTCCCTTCGCGTGCAACCAATACAGTAGGTATCAGAGGGTGAGGGGCAGTCGCTGTGTGTGTGTGTGTGTGTAGTGACTGTTCAAGATTCAAGATCCTCGTCCTCGCTTTCAAGCCCATCCATGGCCTTGCCCCCTCCTACCCTCTCTGACCCGCTGACTCCCTACCAACCAACCTGCCCGCTCCGTCTCCCACTCGACCCCCCCCCATCGGTGGCCGAGCTTTCAGCCTCTCTGCCCCCACACTCTGGAACTCCACCCCACGGTCCCTTGGCCTCGCTTCCTCCCTCACCTCCTTCAAGGCCGGTCTCAAGACCCTCCTCTTTGACTGTGCCTTCGGTCTCCCTCCCACCTCTCTCCCTTCCCTCACCCCTACCCCCGGCCCTTCCCCACGCTCGGGCCCCGACCCGACTGCAACTCCTTGGGACGTCCTCCCGACCTGAAAAGCGCTCTATAAATGTTGTTTTGTTGTTGTTGTTTATCTACAGGGTGAGAGTCACTGTGTATGTGTGACTGTAAGGACCCGCTGTTTATTCAGTAAGCCGAGGGTCACTTATAACAACAATAATCCTTGCATTTGATACAGCGCCTTATCACGTCTCAGAGCGCTTCACAGGACGGACTGTAAAGCATAGTGACTGTATATTTTGTGGGCGAAATGCGACAGCCGATCGCACAAGTCAATGTCCCACAAGCAGTGGTGGACTGAGTAACCAAACGATTATTATTTTTTTTTGGAGGGATTATTACCCCCCGGGAAAGCGATCCACCAATCGACCATCGAGTGGGTTCCTACTTACCGCTGGGTAAACAGAGGCGTGTGTGTGTGTGTACGTGTGTGTGTGTGTTGAGTGAGGAAACTTGCATAAGGTGTTGCCCCGACCCACCCAGGAATTGAACTTCCTGTGTAAATAAATCTACACAGTTCTTATCGATGTGGCTGTGTGTTATTCACTCTGTTCTCTTTCACAGATGGACTGGATTTAATTCACCAGGAGAACTCAACGCAGGTGGAAAGCTGGACTCCGTAAGTATCAGAAATTCAGACACCTCAAGAGATGGGATCGGGAGGGTCGGGGGTAAGAGGGTGACCGAAGGCACGGTCGAAGAGGAGAGTCTCGAGATGTGCCTTGAAGGAGGCAGGCGAGCGAGAGAGGCGAAGGGAATGTGGGACGGACTTCCGAAGGGTGGGGGCAGCGAGGCTGAAGGCTCGATCGCCCGTGGTGGGCCGGGATGGACAGGGCAGGGGGACGTGGAGGGAGCAGAGGGAGCGATCAGGTTGATGATGTGGGAATGTGGGTGAGACAAGGTAGCTGAGGGCTGGGCATGATTTGGAGACTCCAGTCGCTGCTGTAAGACTTGTGTTCATCTCTCCAGCTGCATAAACGTTGGCCATCAGTTCCAGGCCACGTTGCCTGACCTAATGGAGGCGTCCTTGGCGGATCAGGACAAGCACACTGCAGACCTCGTCTGGAGACCCTGGAAAGGATTAATAGACAACCCAGACACGCAACAGAAGGGTAAGATTATCTCTCCTGCTTGAGAGGACAACCGGGAATCCAATAACTATACATAGTTTGATGTAGTCACAACATTTCAGCGCAGTCTCCTTTGAGATTAACATCAACTCTGTGTTACCCTAACAGTGGAGGACATGTTGAACATGGCGTGTTCCAGTGTGCTGCCAGGAGGAGGAACCAACCGAGAGTTTGCTCTTCACTGTCTCTTCGAGGAGGGGGCTGACATTATGGTGAGAGGCGGCTACTTGAAACGGTCCAGTCCCACCTTTTCAACAGTAAAAAAATAATCCTTCCGTTGGACACAGTGCCTTATCGTGTCTTCGAGACGCCTCAAAGCGCCTCCCAGGATACACTGTAGTGTGGTGACTGTGGGTTTTGGGGGCGAACGTGGCAGCCAATCGCGCCCGGCGACGCCCCACAAACAGTCGTGGGTTGAGTGACCAGATTATTATTATTATTATTTATTTTTGAAGGGATTATTGCTTCCTGATAGGCTGCTTCCACTTTTGGACAATAATAATAATAATAATCCTTGATCTATTTGAAATAGCGCCTTATCACGTCTTCCAGAAGTCTCAAAGCTTTTCAAAGACTGGAGGACAGGTCGGGGGGTAGAACTGAGATCAGTGTTGAGATGATTCCGCAGTGTCGAGAGGGGGACCTGATAGAGGTGTTCAAGATCATGAAACTCGTGGCTCGTAAGAGATTAACACTCCTTGCATTTGATACAGCGCCTTATCACTTCTTCTGGACGTCTCAAAGCGCTTCACAGAATAGATGGTAAAGTGGAGTGACTGTGTATTTCTCGTGGGCGAACGATTACACAGAGCAACGTGCCACAAATGGCCATGAAAGTCAGCGACCAATTTAACCCGGCGAGGTAAAAATTCCCTTTAGAACGACGGTAACCGGATTCCTATTCCCACAGGCCGTGTTGGAGAGACTGCTACTGAACACCAAGGTCCCCGCCCGATCAGAGGCTTTGGCCAGTTACCATTACACAGGTAGGTGAGCAAGGATGTTCCGTGGAATCCAAGCCGGAGTCAAGCTTGACTCGCAAACGCAGCCGAGTGATCCGGCTTCCACGTCCAGGAGCTGTCCAAAACCATCGGCAATTTTAAGGCCCTGGTCTGAAAGCTGAGACCACGGGAACCCGTTCGTGAGACATTCACCCACTTTCTCTTCCTCGTTCTTGTTTTCCCGCTCTTGTCAGGAAGTTGCTCCTGGACCTTCAACGAACGCAAAGCCTTCAACAAAGCTTTCGGCCTGCACAAGAAGGACTTCTACACGATCCAGAAAATGGTAACGGGGCGAGGCATTCGGTGGAAATACTCCTCGCATTTGATAACACGCCTTATCGTGTCCTCGAGACGTTCTCAAAGCGCTTCACACGACATACTGTGAAGTGAATTGACTGAATATTTTGTGGCCCGAACATGGCAGCCAATTGCGCCCAATACAGTCGTGGATTGAGTGACCAATTTATTATTTTTTTTGGTGGGGGGGGGAAGGGATTTTTACCTCCAGAAAAGCGATCCGCCAATCGACTAACAACCGGGTTCCTGCTTACTGTTGGGTAAACAGAGGCGTGTGTGGGTTGTGGAGTAACGGTAAATGTCTTCGTGCTGAACAGTAGAACTAGAGGACGTGGCCTGGGGTTGATCGAAGGGGGAGAAAATTCAGTACAAAATCTGCAGACGCACTAATTCGGTGAGCGAGTGGTAAATGTATGGCTCCTGAGGGAGACAGAAAAAGTTCCAAAAACAAACAAGATCGATTTCTACTGGAAAATAATATCCGGGGGCAGAGATACAGCGTAGAGTTTGGGGACACATGTTAAACGACTGCCAGGATGGTGGGAAGGCGAACTGGGTGGACCTTGGGCTTCGTTTGCCGAGCAAGTTCTTATGTCCTTTACCCCCCCCACCCCCCCGCTCCGCCTGTTCCAGGTAAAGTCCAAGCCAATCGCGGAGTGCGTGGAGTACTATTACAGCTTCAAGAAGATCCTCAAGTTCAACAAGAAGCCAAGACTCAGGCCCTTGGACGCGGAGGAGGATTGTGGCCAAGTGTTCCGACAAGACAGCGTCAATGAGGTCAGGCTGGGCAAGGCAGCATTTTACACAGCGCCCTTCACGTGGGGTAGTGTTTCCCGGAGTGCTTGACAGTGGCGGAGTCGGATACCAAGCCGAGGGGGCGCGGGGGGAGGAAAGGGAGGGAGTGGGGAGGTGACCGTAAGCACGATCAAAAAGGAAGGTCTTTAGGTGGGATTTGAAAGTGGGGAGGGAGGGAGGAGGGAAGTGGCGGGACATGAAGGGATCTGAAAACGAGTGAGAGGCCGTTGGCATCGATCAGTTTGGTGAAGTGACATTCTTTCCCTTCCTCCCCACCTTCTCTTGCTTCTGGAATAGCCTCCGTTACGGTCACAGTCGCTGGAGCCCATCCACAGAGAACGACAGAGCCCGTGCCCCACGGTTATTGGCAACTTCCCCTGCAAACAGTGCGGAAAGTAAGTATCCCTCACGTCACTCGGCATGGGCTGAGCCGGGGGCAGGGAGTGAGAGGGTGACCGTGAGCACGGTCCAAGGGGGGAGGGCTTCAGTCGTGATCTAATGGGATGGGAAGGAGGGAGGAAAGTGGAGGGATTGAGGGCAAGAGTTCCGAAGCTTTGGGGCGTAGTGGAGCGGAGGGGGGGCGAGGGACAAGCGAAGGTAGTGGGGAGTAAGCAAGTCGGAGATGGAGGGCTGTGCCAGGGCGTGAAGGGATTTGTAGACAAGAGAGAGAGAGAATCTTGATTACTTTCTTCCTTCCTCAACCTCCCCCGCCACCCCCACAACACAGGATGTTCTACAAGATCAAGAGTCGGAATGCTCACATGAAGATCCACAGGCAGCAAGACGACTGGCAGCACAGATCGCAAGATGGTTACTACCCGACAGCCACCTACACCCCCCCATCGCTGGGCAAAGCCCCCACCGCCGCCTACTCCAACTGGGACAACAGGGTCATTCAGGAGCACCTGGACGCCGTGACAGAAGCCATGACCTGCACCAACTTACCACCGATCTACCAGGAGGAGATCAAACTGAACTTCGGCAAGGAGAAATGTCAGAACATCTTTATATAATCACTCAAACTCCCCCCCACCACCACCACACCTCCCAGAAAAAACACCTTCATCATCATAATAATCCTTGTGTTTACCCGGCGCCTCATCACGTCTTAAAGCGCTTCACGGGATTCACCGTAAAGTGCAGTGACTGTATACTTTGTGGGCGAAACGCGGCAGCCAATCGTGCCTAGCGACGTTCCCCCACAGACAGTCGTGGATTGAGTGACCAAATGTTTTTTTTGGAGGGATTATTACCCCCGGAAAGCGATCCACCGATTGACTACTTACTGCTAGGTAAACAAAGGTACGTGTGTGTGTGTGTGCGCGCGGGGTGTCAGGAAACTTGCCCAATGTTTCGCCCTGATCCTGCCCGGCGGGGGAATCGCTCGCTTGCGAGGCGAGGGGTCTAACCCCTGAGCTACACAAAATGAAGAGATTACCTACAAAGTCTTTGGGAAGAGTTAACTGTGAAAAACAAACCTCTGACATGACTCAGTGATAGAGAAAAAGCCTGTGTGCGTTTTATATATATATAGTGTATTTTTATATATATATATTTTATGTAAATATGCTCCCTCCGTTCAGCGGGCTCTGGCCTGCTCCATGTCTCCCGCCCGACCCCCCCTCCCATCGGTGGCCGGGCTTTCAGCCTCTCTGCCCCCACACTCTGGAACTCCACCCCACGGTCCCTTGGCTTCGCTTCCTCCCTCACCTCCTTCAAGGCCGGTCTTAAGATCCACCTCTTCGACCGTGCCTTCGGTCCCCCTCCCACCTCTCCGCCTTCCCTCCCTTCCCCCCACGCTCGGGCCCCGACCCCCGGACTGTCCAGGGCCTTGGGATGTCCTCCCGACCCGAAAGGCGCTCTATAAAGGTCATGTTGTTGTTGCTGCTGCTGTTGCATTTGCTTCACTGATGGGATTGATTACACAAATCGAAATGAGACGATCGCCTCGATGGGCTAAACACTGTGCAATTTATTGAATTCTATTCCTATGGCTTTTATTTTCCTCAATGGGGTTCTCCCCAGGCAAAGAGAAATGTATAAGGCTCCTGTTCATTTGATAGTGGGTCAGTTTCACCCATCCCGCTCCTTCCTTCCCACTCGTCCCTTCCCACTCTGCGTTCTTGTTCGGGTCAAGAACTTAACCCAGTAGAAAGTCTCCAGTATATACTCCGTCCCTGCTACCTTGTGCGTTCTGTTTCAAGTGATGTGGGCTTTCTAAAGGGACTTGGGCAGCAACGGGTGGGAATATCAGAAAATCCTCATTTCTCTTGTGCCTCTCTCTCCCATCCTAGAAACTCCACAGACAGACAGACAGACAGACAGACAGACAGACATTCAGACAGAGCTTCTGACCTTCGTGGGGAAGCTGAAGGCAAAGGCGGAGGAAAGGCAACCGGATAGGAATGAGCGAGAGAGAGAAAGACTTCAGACTGAGGCAAGAGAGAGAGAGCGGGTGGGCGAGGGGCGGGGGTGGGTGGTGGGGGGGAGTGGAGGTTGGTACAAACACAAAAAAATTAAGAAATGCGCAGGATTCAGTGACGAATACAGATCCTTGGGACGTCTTTTCAGACGTGGAAGGCACTATGCAGATGTCGGTTTGTATTGTATTTTGTTGTTCGCTGATCTCCTTGCATTTGATACAGTGCCCTATAACACCGCCGAGATGTTCTTGAAGGCGCTTTGCGCCCGGCAACATCCCATTTGCGCGTTTCGCCCACAAAACACAGTCGCTGCATGTCACAGCATGACCTCTGAAGCCCTTTGAGACGTCTCGAATACGCGATCAGGCGCTGTGTCGAATGCAAGGATTATGATCATCGTAACGCAAGCGATGACGTGAGTGTCCAATTTTATCCGGGGGATTGTTGTCTGGATATGAAGGAGTTACAAAGGGAATTCTAGAGGAAATTGGGAGTCCACCATTGGCTTCAGTATTCCTGGCCTGAGGTTCCCATTTCCACCTAATTGTACGTAGCCTGTGAAACTATTTTGGCTTCATACTTTATAAGTCCTGTAGCTTAGTGGTTAGAGCACTCACTGGGTTCGGTTTCTGGGCGGGCAGGGCAACACGTTGGGCAAATCTCCTTCCTTCCTGGCATATCAGATCGAGCTAACCAGTCGAGAGAAGGAGACGAGTGAGCATGTTCTCGAGGGAGGGGGTAAGAGAATCGAAGCAGCAAGACGTTTCAGGCATTTGAGGAGAACGGGGTGAAGTGAGGGCAGTTCCTGTGGGCTGCGGTGTATTGCAGTCATCAATCCGTACAATGAGGTCAGGACTGGCACTAACCACAGGATGCTTCTGTAGACGTCTCTCATGTGCTACTTTCTCGAGAGGGCCTCTGGAAGACGACTCGAGCTACGTCAAGCGGCTTCCCGCAGTCACAGTGCGGCGCCATAGCCTCAAAGACTTCTCCGACTTCGGGTGGACAAGATCTACCCCGTCTGACGCAGTGCCGGCTGCCATTTGCTAGCGTGTTTCTGCACAAATGCTGCTAATCTGCCCCTCTGGAACTCCATCCCACAATCCCCCCGCCTCGCACCCTCCCTCGCCTCCTTCAAGACCCTTGGCTTCGACCGTGCCTTCGATTACCTGCCCTCCTCCACCCCTTCCTGATCCCAACACCCACCATCCCAACACAGCTCGGGTGCAGATCTCTCACTGTCCAGCACATTGGGACATCCTGTCGTGAAAGGCACTGGTCTTTGTT